AACCAGCTTTATATAATTTACTTTGAAAACCTAAAAGACTTCTAATGGAATTTTCAATTGTAAAATCAACTTCAAAATTTGTTGCAATAGTCATTGTAACTTTAAATGTGGTTTTATCTCCTGCAAAATTAATTGAATTCATAGGAAATTTAGAATTAACTAATTCATCTTGCATCCATTCATTGATCTCAGTAAGTTTATAGGTCCCTTCAGTAAAATTACGATTAGCTCCCCCTATTACGATTAGCTGTTGTATATCGTAATAGGTCCCCCTTTTAGCTCCGCCTATTACGAATAGCTGTTGTAAATCGTAATAGGTCCCCCTATTACGATTAGCTGTTGATGTTGCGTTAGTAGCTGGATCATAAATATTATTAGTAAATTTATTGTTATTTTCAGCAACATTTTTAAGTAAATGATACGTTTCTAAGCTTATTAATGCCATTTCATAATCTTTTTTTTCATCAAGTGGAATAGCTGGGATAAACCTTCTATTCATAATCGAAGCATTTACCCCAATACATATATCCAAGATATATGTATTGGGGTAAATACTTCTTATATATTTACAAGAAATTTTTTATATATCATAATACTTCTTTTATATGAAATTGTATTATTAATCTTTCTTTACCCATATCTACATCATGACGAATGTCATCAACTATTTTAACTGTTATTTTTGAAAGTGTGTTGGTTTTTAATAGCAAATAACTTAAAAATTGCGGTTGTTCAATAATACTCATACCTAAAGAACGGGTAATGGGTAGAATGTATACATACCAGTAGTTTTCTTACCATTTATATTTTTTCCATCTACAATGTTATTTAATATATGTAAGCATATTGTTTTAGTTGTAATAATATAGTGAATAGTTTCTAATCTTATAAATGCCATTTCATATTTTTTTGTTTTATCAAGTTCAATAATGGGATCAAATTGAACTGTAGTAATATTTGATTTATCGTTATGTACTTCAATATCCATTCTTTATATTTATAATAATTATTATTTAAGTTATTATAAATGTATATCTAATATTTTTGTAACTTCTTTAATTTCTTTTTCATTGACTACTGCATCATCATCTAATTTCACTTGTATAGATTGAATCGTTGAACCAATATAAACACCTTCAATTTTTAAACATCCAACAATATAATATCTTTTTTTAATAAGGTCATGCCCTGAAATTTAATCATCATCTTTAGATCTGAATACAGGTTCCATCTTCATATCTTTACCTTCTGTTGGTATTTTTGCAAAAATAATAGGAGGTTTATTATCATTACATTTTAGAATTTTTAAGTTGTCAGTATTAAAGTTCTTTAACTTATTTTTCAATTGTTTTTGTTTAATTTTATCTCTACAAAATTTTTCAATAGATTGAATCGTTGTAATAAATTTTTCTTCTTTTTCAGTTTTTCCTTTCATTTCATTAAAGCAAACAAGTGGAATTGAATATCCAGTAAGTTCATTCGTTTTTGGATCTCTATTCCTTCACAAATTCCATATGAAAATAATTTGGGTGTTTTTACTGATAAAACTGTTTTGCTTTTATAACCAATTTTCATTTTTTGATAAGGAACAGGCTTATAATAATTAAATAATTCATCAGCGCACAATTTTGTCTCATCAAAATTTTCAATCTTTACATATGTCATTTTTATATATGCAAGAAAATCATTTTTATATATGCAAGAAAATTATTTTTATATATGCAAGAAAATTATTTTTATATATGCAAGAAAATTATTTATATCATTTAAAAAAAAAAAAAAATAAACGATTTAAAATAAATAAACATCTTTATAAAATGCATAAAATTTATCTAAATGTTAAAAATAGTGAAAATATTAAAAATAGTGAAAATATTAAAAATAGTAAAAATATTGAAAATAGTAAAAATATTGAAAATAGTAAAAATATTGAAAATTGTGAAAAAATAGATTTAATATATAATCAGAATTTAGATCACACTCCAACTCATGTTAATAGTAAAAAGTATAGAGTATTTGCACAGCAAGGTTTTACAATAAAACCGAATTCATATAATTATGTTTCTTTAAAATCAGGGTTAAAAATAACAGAAGGGTATGTATTCATTGCACTAGAAGAAAAATATAAGCCTTATTTTTATTTAACAAATAATAAAGTAGCAGAATCAGTTAACGATATTTTAGTAAATATATATAATAGTGGCGAGTCAGATAAAAATATTAAAAAAGGGATTGTTTATGTCAAATTGTATATAATAAAAGTATGAGTACAATAATTACGTATAATATATCTGAAGTTAAAGCAATTCACTCCAAGTAGTTCTAAAGTAAAAAATAGAGCTGCATCTAAAGTCGATACATTCAAATAAATTAATTGAGATTTATTTAAATTGATTTAAACTAGTTTAAAATATAATACTTCTTTATAAAATGAAGTATAGTTATAATGAGTGCAAAAATAAAGAATGTAAAAATATTTATCCAGATCTTAGCCCGTTTACAGTTGATCTAACTGCTCCACATATATCTATAGATCAGCAATATCGATTAGATAAGACAAGTGAAATTCAAGGTAGGATAGAATATGAAAGAAGTAGAAGGTATATGTTAAGTAAAAAGTATCATAGAGCTGAAAGAGTCATTTCAGCCGTTGATAATACATTATTAGTGACTACTATGACATTATGAGCTATTGGAGTTGGTTTTTTAGAAACTATAGTACCAGCTCTGATGGCTATTGCATGTGGAGGAGCTACATTAGGTGGGTTTAATGTTATTTAAAGGATCTCAAGTAATTAAAAAGTTAAACTTAAAAGAAAAAAAGCATGAAAATATTAAAATGTTAGCTGAAGCAAAACTAAATTCAATAAGCGATCATATTTCTAAAGCTATACTAGATAGTCATATTGATGACACAGAGTTTAAAATGATTATGACATAGTTTGAAAAATTTCAAGTCATGCTAGAACAGATTAGAACAAAATCTAAAAATGATATAGATGAAAAGACTAAAGAGTCATTAATAGATATGGGTAGAGAGAAAGCTATGAAAGAAACTATGGAATTGTTAGAAAGTAGATTTAAAAAAGTATCGATTGGCGACCCTAGATCTATCAAAAATCAAAATATTGCTGTAAATAATTTAGAATTGATCATGTTGATAAATAATCTTGATCACGTTGATAAATAATCATAAAATACGTTAAAAATAAAATACGTTTTAAGTATTGTAGATCCTAAGAAAAGAAATAAAGCTTTTCAAGAACTTGAAAGATTAAAAAAAAGTATATACCAAAATTCACTCAATGAAAAGCTTGGATAAGATGACTTACAGTATGACTTGGGTAATTTATACAAACCTATTATTGATAGTCAATCTGGAATAAAAGAAAACTTAGCTAAATTAGAAAATAAAGCTGATCATTTAGCTCTAGCTCTATCAAATTATCCTGCAATAATGGGTATAACTAAAACTAAAGAAATAACGACTAAAGATGTTAAATCTAACATGAAACCTGATAAATAATTTCATTAATAACTATAGCAACAAATTATCTACAGTCAGCATATAGTAATAAAAAAGCAGCAGATACTACATTTGGTATACACTCAAAAGATAGAAAAATGTATATAGGAAAAAAACAAATATTAATAAATAATAATGATATAACTGTTGATAATAAAAAATATATTGGAACTACTGGTCTTTGGGAATTGTTAACAAAAGCTAGTCCTAATAAAAATATATATAATAATATATAATATATAATAATAAAAATATATATAATGAAGATGATCTTTAAATTATAAAAATATATTGAAAAAAACAGATGCTATTTCTTCTAGTAAATATCCAGGAAAATCTAGATAATCTAGAAGTGAAAAATCTAAAGAGATAATAAAACCCATTTGGGAAGAGATAACTGGAAAATCTGGAAAAGGAGTCATCTATCTTCCTAGAGATCCAGACGCGCTAATTGATATGCTTGAATTATGTATAGCTTCATTTAAAGTAGGTAACACTGGAGTTAGAAATGAAGCTATTGCCATTTGTGATGAATTATTACGTCAAGGCGTACTGAATGAAGAAAAGTATAAATCAATTCAGAACTTTTTTAAAAGTAAATAACTATGATTTAGATCTTCGAGATACGGATTTATGTTAAACAAATTTAAAAAATAGTAAGCAAATAAAAATGCTCATTATAGAGATTAAAAGAGTTATTAAAAAGAATGTTGTTGGAGGTAGAGGAATATTTAGTTCTGCAAGAAATATATTTCAAAAACAATCTGTAGATAAAACACTTAATTTATCATGCAATTTAGCAAATAAAGCTATTCGTAGTGATTTAGGAAAAACTGCAATAGATGCTGAAAAAGTAGCTGGAAAAGAACTTGCTATAAATGCCATCTTTACTATTAAAGATGTTGTAGTAGATAAAAGAAAGAAGTTGATTTCAAAAGCAAAGATTTGAACTGAAAGTGAACAAAAGCTTCAACATTCAATAGAATCTGAAACTAATGATCTAGCTAAAAATCTAACTAACGAAGTGACAACAAATTTAAATAATCTAATGATGGGATCATCATTAAATCATTCAAAGATTTCACCTACAAGTGCAATTAAATTAGAAGAATTAATTAAGAAAGGAAGAGGAATAATAGAAGTTTAGACCAAAAAAATTTTCATAAATTAATGAAAAATGATTTAAAAAAAAATATTGGTATATAAAAAATGGAAACTTTTTCTAATAAGATATTTAATATTACAGAGAAAAGAATTATTGATGATGGTATTCAAAGTAGTGAACATTATGAGTATCAACCACAAAATAATTCAATATTAAATGGAAATGGAACGCAAATAAGAAATAGATATTCAACAAAAAGATTCATTTCTTCTTCCATCTCATGCATGTTTACAAGTTGAAGGAAGATTAAAAAACGATGGTACATCCTATACTAATGCAAACAATGGAATTATGTATTTATTTGATAGAATGTCATATGAACTATCAGATAAATCTTTAGAAGAAGTTAATAATTTAGGAAAAGCAACTACAATGATAGGAATGCTCAAATATTCAGATGACTTTCAAAAATCAACAGGATCAGCTCAACTATGGTTTAAAGATACAACATCTACTTCAGTAGCTACTGATAGCTTGGAATTTGCAGCAAGACAAATTAAAGTTATTCAGAAACCTGCTACAAAAGACACATTTTCATTTTGTATTCCTTTAAAGCATGTTCTCGGATTCTGTGACGATTATGATAAAGTGATTTACGGAGTAAAGCATTCACTCGTAATTACAAGAAAAGGTGATAATCATGCAATTTTTAGAGCTGCTGGAGTAGCTGTAGGAAAAGTAAATCTTACAAAAGTATCATTGTTTATGAAGCATGTAATTCCATCAGATACGATGAGAAGTGTACTTTTTAATCATATTAATTTGAAAGTAAGACTCAATGTTAATTTTCATAGTAGATATGTGAGTATAATTCTGTTACACCAAATGTTATGGGATTTAAATATAAACTCAGTGGAAGAAATGAAAGACCTAAATACATCTTTCTAGCATTACAAATTTATAGAAATGGAAATCAAGAAGTTAAATCTGCAGTATTTGATAATTGTGATTTAAAAGCTATTTCAGTAACGCTTAATAGAGAACGGTGCCTAAAAATGATAATAATTTAACATATACAAATATTCAATTTTCAAGAGCTTATTTAGATTCAGCTACTTTTAATGAGAAGTTTTATAGAACAAATCAACTATATGCACAAAGCAGCATACATGATGTAGAATTTAGAGAATTATATCCTATTTATGTTGTTAATGTAAGCAAACAAACAGAAAGATTAAAAAGCTCACCAGTAGATATTTAAGTTTAAACAGCATTTAATTCACCTGTTCCAGCAAATCTTCTATTATTTTCTGTTATAATATCTGATAAGCAAGCAAAACTTGTGTCTGATAGAGAAAAATTTTATTTTCAATATTAGTATACTCTATATAAGAACTGATAAATAATTCAATAAAATAAATTAATTTAAAAAGAATTAAATAAATTACTTGACGCAATAAAAAAGAATGGAAAACGAAAATTTATTGAAAAATGAAGTAATTGATTCTAAATATGAAGAAGAATTAAAAAAAAAAATAGAAGCATTAATATTAGAATTAAGATTAAAAAAAGAAAGATTACATTCACTAGGATTTGAAGAAAAAAGATTAGTAGATTTAATAGTAGAAAAAGAAATGTTTTTAAATTTGGATAGACTTGAATTACAAGTAAATTCAGAAGAAAAAGAATTAATGTTAGAAGAAGATTTAGAAGAAACAAGATTAAGAGTAAGAAAATTTGATGAAAAGTTAAAAAAAATTAGAACTAGAAGAAAATGACTTTATTAGATTAGAAATTAAAAATTAAGATTAGAATTAAGATCAGGAGAAAGAATATTAAATTTAATATTAGAAGCAGGATTAGAAGATAGATTAGAATTAATATCATATTTAGTATTTGATTAAAAAAGATTAGAATTAATTAGAACAGAAAAAATATTAAAATTAAGATCAAGAGAAGAATTAGAAGAAATACAAGAAAAAAATAAGATTTGAAGAAGAAGCATGAGAAGATTCAGAAGAAAAACTAAATGAAACAGTAGATATAGAAAATTTATATTCAGAATATTCAGGAGATATGAAAAAGGAAGAAATAGTAGAAAACTTAAAATTAGCATTAGAAATACTATTAGAATCAATAAGAATAAAAAAAAAAGAATAGATGCTGAAGGGATCCATACTTCGTTAGAAATAATAAAAACAGAAATAGAAGAAAGATTAGTAAAAAAATTATTTAGAAAAACAAATTATTTAGAAGAAATACTAGAAGAATTAAGATTTAAAGATTCAGATTTAGCATATTCAGAAGAAGATTTGTAAAGATTTAAAAAATATAATTTTAAAAAATATGCAAGAAAAAATGAAATAATTTAAATTGTTTAAAAGTAATTTAAATTTTTTTCTTTATATAATAAAAATGAGAAATACGAAAAAGTATTTAATAATCTTACTAAAAGAAAATAATATTCAACAAACGTCTGATAACCTTATTACATTAGTTATGCTTGCTATGGATAACGGTTTAATTGATAAAGAGTTTGCATTATCAGATGCATATATTAAAAATAAAGTTGGAAGACCAAAGATTCATCCAGATATTGTAAGGGTTAAAAGAATTAAAAAAGAAAAAGTTGAAAAATCAGAAAGACCTGTTGGAAGACCCAGAATTCATCCTATAAAAGATAAGAAAGAGATAGATCCAAAGTTTAAAAGATTAAAAAAAACTTGAAATGAGCCAGTAACTATTAAACTCACAAACATAGAAACAGGAGAAGAAAAAATATAGAAATCTTTATATGAATTTATAAAAGAGACAAATCTTGGATATAGGTATATTGAATTAGGAAATGGAAAAATTAAAGATGGATTTAAAGTTCAGATAATAAATTCTAAAAGGTTTCCAAAAGAAATGAATTCAAAAAATACCAAACTATATAAAAGTATGCAAATGTTAATGTCAATGTGTGCAAAACAGCTACATCTGCAAATGCTAATACAAATACAACTGTAACAACGACGTCATCTACATACTCTAAATAAAGAACTTTTTATAATTAAAAATATTATGCCAAGATTTTTAATTGTTTACAAGAATTTTAATAAAAAATAAAAAAAATTGAAAATGATTTAAATAGTTTTCTTGCATATATAAAATGTAAAATAAAACTCTCAGAGAATTGAAACAAATTGCAAAAAAGCGAAAAATCAATTATTATTATACAATGAGAAAAGAAAATCTTTAGGAGTTTTATCTCAAAATGAACAAACATCATACATATTAGACGAACCCATTTCAGAACACATTACACAAAATACTTTAACACCAACTCAGTATGTTTCAAGTAGGTATATTAAAATTGTTAATGATAAAGTGAATTCATTTGCTAATTGGATTATTTCATATGTTCTTTAACCTATAAAAAAGGCAGCTAATAAAAAAATGACGAATTAAATTCTACAGTTTCTAATTTGTATAATAGATTTGGAGTTAGAAGACTAATAGAATTCAAATTAACACAATCAGCTATTAGAAATGTAACAAAGCAATTTTCAGCTGATGGTGTTGCAGGATATGATGCTTTATCCTATATGGATTCAGCTATAAACAGTGTCATTTAGATACTAAATACTAATAAAGATTCAAAGATATATATTGCCCTTTTTTGTGAAATGGAGCGTACTGATCTTAAAACAAGAGAAATTTATACAGTAACAAACCCATTTTTATCAAAAACAGAAGTTGTATTAGAATCAACAGATTTTTTTTTTTTTTTTTTAACATCTTCACTTCCAACAAGGCTGCAAGCAATCACTATAAGAGTTGGAAGTTACTGGAAGAGAAAAGACTAAATCTGTAGAGCACGATAACGATTGACTAATGACTTAAAAGATTGCAAATTATATGAATCAGGAAAGCAAGATGAAGGAAGCGAATTCCAAAGAACTGATGTTCGAGGAAAAAAACTAGAAGAATAAGAGTTTTTGAAGCACTTAGGAACAGTCACAGAAAAAGGATGAGACTTAATTGAATGGCGAGTAACACGAGAATGAATTTTAGTAGATGGCACAAGGGACGCTAGCTCTTTAGAGCAGTGCCCATTATAGTATTTGTAGAAAAGAGAAAGAGAAGCAACATTACGACGATGTGACAAAGGTTGGAGATTGGCTGCCAGAGCAGGTCCAACTATGTTTACAATTCGTTTTTGCACCTTGTCTAAAAGAGAAAGAGCATCATTAGAAGATCTGCCCCAGATGTGGCAACAGTATTCCATACAGAAACGGATTTGAGATTTATAGAGATAGAGAATAGAATCTGGAGTAAGAAAGTGTCGAGCTCGATAAAGAGATGCAACCTTAGCAGATGCTAATTTTGCAATGGATTTGATATACGGTTTAAAAGAAAGATCAGAAGTAAGAGTTAATCCTAGAAGATGAATGGTAGATGACTCATCTAGTACATTACCATTCATAAATATAGGAAGATCTAAATTATTACGATAACGATTGGCCTAATAAAATTGAGTTTTATCTGAATTAAAGTTCACCAGCCACTGTGAGCCCCATGCTGTAGCGGAAGTGAGATCCTTTTCAAGCTCAGATACCCCCTCCAAGCAATCAGAGAGTGTAGGCTTCTTATCATGACAAGAGTAAATGGTAGTGTCGTCAGCGAATAATGCCACCTTAGATGTGAGAATATCTGGAAGATCGTTAATGTAAATTAAAAAGAGTATAGGGCCAAGGATTGAACCTTGAGGAACCCCTGAAGTTACAGGATGTGAAGAAGAGTGTTGTCCATCGAGGACAACTTTTATACTACGATTGGAAAGAAAGGACTCAATAATCTTAAAGACGTTACCAGCTACACCATAAGAAGAAAGCTTATGGAGAAGACCAGCATGCCAAACTTTATCAAAAGCTTTAGAAATGTCAAGTGCGATGGTCTTAACCTCTCCACCTTTATCTAATGCACAATAAAACCTTTCCGTTATTACTGTTAGCAAATCAGCTGTAGAACAAGAAGATCAAAATCCATATTGATGATCAGAAAGTAAGTTATTCGATTCAAGATGAGAGATTAAGTGTTTGTTAATTAAAGATCCAAAAACCTTGCTTATGATAAGAAGAAGACTAATGGGACGGTAGTTAGACAAATTCGCTCTCCAGAATTTTTAAAAATAGGGATAACAGATGCTGCTTTCCAGCATGATGGAAAACAAGACTCTGATAAGCACTTGTTAAATAGTTTAGAAAGTATGGATGAAAGCTCCGGAGAACACCTCTGCAAAACTACAACAGGAATGTTGTCAGGACCACAAGCTGTTGAAGAGTCTAAGCAGGAAATTACTTTAGATACAGAAGCTTAAGTGATGCGAATGTCAAGCAAGGGATCAACCTGTTTGACGGCTATGTCAGGTAAAATGCAACTAGTGGAATCAAGAGATGATATTGATGAAAAGTTCTTAGCAAACAATTCAGCTTTGTCTTTAGGAGAGGTGACAAAGTCTGAACCATACAAGAGAGAAGGAATAACAGATTTGCCCTTATTATTGATACTGTTAAAGATTCTCCAGAAGTCTCGAGAGCCTAATTTTTGTGATGAGATACGAGATTTAATGACCTGGGAATAGCGAGTTTTGGCGTCAGACAAAACCTTTTTACAATGGTTTCTGGCGATAGTGAACAGATGTCTGTTTTCTGGAGAATTGTTTTGCTGATAGATATGGAAGTAACGGTTTCGATTAGAAATTGCTGCAGCGCAATGTGAGGAAAACCAAGGAGAAGAGTGAGGCTTAACCTGGAATCGTCGAGAGGGAATAAAAGATTCCATGCCAGCCTGAATCCACGAAGTTATGTAAGAAGCAAATTTGTCAGCAGGAAGACGAAAGATTTCTACCCAAGGGCCATCACGAAGAAAATCACGGAAAGAGTCCCAGTCAGCTTTAAGGTAGTTGTATGTGGTACGATGATAGGGGGATTCTGATGAAGTAGAAGAATTTGATACTAGTTTTAGAGAGATCAAACCGTGATCAGAAGTACCTAAGTGTAAATGTGGAGAAATTGAGCACTGACTAGGATCCAAAACAAGACATAAGTCGAGTAGAGAAGGTAAATGATTAGGGTTGTCTGGAAAACGAGTTGGAAAGTTGACTATTTGAGTTAGAGATTGAGAAAGGCAAAAGTTGAGGGCCTTATCGCCAGCAGAGTCACTGACACTAGAGCCAAGCCAATCGGTGTGATGGGCATTAAAGTCACCAACAACGAC